TCCATGAAGAAATGGCTTTTAGAGGCTGGGAAGATGATATTCGTGATCAGCTCCATGCGCTGAACAAGAATATGTATGATAAAGTCAAAACAAAATTTCACTGTAAGTTTGCATTACGTGCATCTTAACTTTTAACAGTCATTTGTGAACGAGGTTGTTCTCACGATTTACCGTTGCAAGTTTGTCTAATATTTGTTTATTTTTCTTGTTGAACTTGCTCGTGATACTGATTTCCAGGAAAACAAATAAAAACATCACTCCGATGAAAATGATTATAATAATTGTCAGTTGCCAGCTATATATAAATCCAATTATTATTCCTGTTCCCAAATTGGCACATGTTTCCACAATTGTTCCGATACGCACACCAACAACCTAAACACTTGTGAAATACAATAAGTAGTGCTTACTGAGCACAGTCCGTGCAACCTAATTAAATTTGTATCCCTTTCCACCTTTGGGTTACAAGTAATTATTATCTACCTTAAGGGCACCAACCCACAATTTTCCTTCAAAAAAATCGATTTTGAGATTTATATATGATTGAATAGTCCAAAGTGTCCTCTTTCCAACTCACTAATTTTGATACCTTGAAAAATGGCTTTTGACAGTTGTCTAGCTGGTTTTCTGAAAGCCTCCGATTCTATAAAAGTTAGTTTTCAATGAAAGTGCTGTTCTTCATATTTTTTCACAAAGAAAGGATAGAAACATAGGATTTAGGCTACCCTAAATCCAATGAGCATATGCAGAGACATGTTCGACATGTGTTTTTGCATATGCAGTGGTATTTCAATAAAAAGTGATATTTTTGTGCAGTGATATTATATAACCGAGACAGTCGCATTTTCTTTTCACAGCCTTGAACGACGGTACATTTTAATCTGTGCGTTGCTGGTAGATGGGATTTTAAATAGTTCAAAGAAGAGTAAGGTTGTCACTTGAGAATGTTCTTTGCTTAGAAAATTTTCAAGTTTGTTTTATTAATTTATAGAACAGAAAAGTATAATTTACTCACACTTTGTATGGCCGCTGCGTCTGTTTCTAGAAGTTTGCATAGGTTTCCTGTACTGTTTTCCTGTCTATCAAACCAAGCAATCTCTTGATTGAGAATAACATAAAATGTTTTGACACGTAAACGTTTCGTTAAGGCTTCGCCGGAAAAAGCAAACATTAGATGCTAAAATAAAACATCAGTTTTAATTTATGTACGATCTTCAACGTTAGAGAAAAAGCTCAAGCCACTGGAAAGGTAGAAATGCTGTTGTTACGAAGTAAGCATCCCCGAAACGGCTCGGTTTTTGATATTTTGCGGTTTTTGTGTTTAGTGAAAGCTTTAAGTTTAAAACTACCGGCGTATTTCAAACACCCTTGTTTCAATAATGAACAGAAAAATAAACAAAAATCAGGTATTATCCGGACGTAGGGAATTGATTCTTCGATCAATCAAAAACAATTACAACTGTACGATATGGCAAGGTCGGGATAACATTGAATAAAACCGGCAGACTATAAAAACTGGTTTGACGAGATAAAACTCAGTTTAACCGCTGAAAATCAATCCAAATATAGACTTATCATACATCATTCTCAAGCGCTGAGCGAGCCCAATACAGTGTCACATATGCCATAGCATGCACTAATACGAACGGCAAAATGTGTCGGAGCCAAATTTTCTAGGTTAAGGTTTAAATGTTAAAGATCGTTGGATCAGAGTTGAACCCGCATATGCTGCTCATACATCTCACATGCTGCTATATGCAGTGAGAAAAAGAAATTAAATTCTTATAATCTAATTGCCATTCGGCAAAACGCGATACAGCATATGTTTTTCTATATGTGTAGCGTATGCTCGTACCTACTCACGACGCGCCGTCATCAAAATCTATTATGAAATCGTTTCTAGGAAAAAGCAGCATTTTTTCCAGAAAAGGGCTTCTAAGAAACCTGTAAGAAACTCTTCTTTTTTCAATAACCTTTATTTTAGAAATATCTCTGCACATCTTGAAAGCACACACTATCAGGTACAATGATCTCGAAACTGCAATTTTTGACAAAAAACAAATTTTCGCCGTAGGAAGCACCCTTAAACACAAAAATGAAACGTCCACTTTTCATTCCGTCTAGATCTCAAACCGAGTAGCGAACCGAACTCGTGTCATTGGCACCCAATGAATTTAATTAGAAAAAAACCAATTTTTTTCTTTTACTCAACTTGAAAAAATTTCGTCATAAGTATGACCACGCCAATCCCTATGAATATTAGCATGTAAAAGGTCATGCCGCGTTTTTGTTCTTCATAATCACATTTTTGAAATATCTGTAAAATAGAAAAACCTTGGGTAAGAATCCTAGTTGATAATAATCCGAAAAAAATTAGCACCAACCAAAAGTATTTGACAGACCAGTAACCCAAATATGGGTTTTGCTGCACCATTACAACTGCATGCCATAGATCCGAACAAAATGTAGGGCCATTCTTGACTGTTTAATTTTAACATTATCAGGAATGTTGAATGTGCTGATCTTTCCTATAAATTAATACCAGAATCCAAGATGTTTATGTGTTTCTTATTTTGGCAACACATCTTTAAGCTCAGATAATGACACAACGACCATTTAGATAAAAGCAAGACAAGAAGATGGTGGGTTTTTCAATGCTGCTAAACGAACTTTGGAACCGTTATTGAGCTCTGAATTAAATATTACAGGTGTTTTCTTATGGTCTTTTAAAGTGCTGATATATTGGCAGCCATAGATTCCTGCTAAAGAACTTGATTCGCATGATACTTTAAATTAAAAATTTCTCAGAAAACATTTAAAATATTTTTTTCTTACTTTATCGTCTTTGTCCTCACTATATTGACTTTGCATGTCAGATGACGCACTCGAAAGTCTGCTTTTCGCTGAAATTCATATTTTACAATGATAAATATACCATTAAAAGCAAAACAAACCTTGTGTGCTGTCATATATTCTGTTTTCTTCTTTTTCTTCTACTTCTTCTAAAACATTTGTCGATTCTTGTGACCGCACCGTTTCATAGTAATATTGTCTATTGTTCATTAATGTTTCGTGATTCCCCATCTCTACAACCGTCCCATTCTGAATGATATAAATCTTATTTGCATTTCTAATTGTAGATAAACGATGAGCAATAACAATCGTTGTGAGACCGTTTAAACGAGGAAAAACAAATAGATCAAAAACACAAGAAATGGAGTTCGATCAAGTATATTTTTCAAGGAACACTTTAAACGAATATAAGCGAGTATTCCTTGAGAAACTTTCTTACCCATACCTCTGCATGCATTATCTAAGGCTTCTTGCACAATTTTTTCTGAATTCGTGTCCAACGCTGACGTAGCTTCATCTAGGAGTAGAATTTTCGGATTTCCAATCAGAGCACGCGTCAGTACTATACGCTGCTTTTCACCACCCGATAAACTTATGCCGCGTTCTCCAACAAATGTTTCATACTGCTATAAATGAAAAAAAAGTTCTTGTAAAAAAGATCCAGTTTATCTTCCTTACCTCGGGTAACTTCATTATGAAATCGTGTGCATTCGTTTTTTTTGCTGCATCTTCTACTTCCTTTACTGAAACATTACCAGCTTTGCCGTATGTTATGTTTTCAAAGACTGTGGCACCAAAAAGAACCTTTAGAGATGAATTACAAAAATGAAAGTAGATTGCAAAATATATTTGTGACTCCGTCTACTTAATCCTTTACCTACCGGTTCTTGACTAACAACGCCGATATTTTGTCTTAGCCAAGTTAAATCATAATCATTAATAGGATATCCGTCGATCAGAATACTGCCAAATAATTGATCGTAAAATCGCAATAACAGTTGTATGCATGTACTTTTACCTAAATATTTAAGTTGAAAAAATACTTTTTGATCTATGTGAATATAAAATTAACTATATAGACTAACCACATCCGCTTTTTCCAACCAGTGCTACAGTTTCCCCTCTTTTTATACTAAGATTTATGCCACTTAAGGTTTTTACGTCTAACCTTGTTGGACAAAGATGTTCACATATTAGACGACCGAGAATCCCATGTGAGCTTGATCATACAATTAAATAATGATGCATAATATAATAAATGTCCAATGCCAATAAGAAAAATGAACATTATTGAACTCAATATCCCCGTTTAAGTTAACATTTTTCCTTCCAGAAGTTGTTGTCATCAATCCACTACACGGCTAAATGAAAGGCAAAAATAGGTCTCACTTGGAAACAACAGAGCAAAAGTAGGAAAGTAGTCTTTCCGTTGAACAATAAAAGCATTCATTTTGTACGCAAGCACAACACTTACGATCAGCTACATCGTTTCTTTAGATATTAGAAAAGAAACACTAGCGCGCTTTCTTTAATAGGCAACTCTTTAGGACCTATATATTTTGCCTTTAAGGCAAAATATGCTAATAGCATAAGTTTAAGAATGTGTGTTTTCGCCTAACGAGGAAACGTTCTCAGGTGACACGCCTTGTTTTCATTTATTCACACGTCCATCAATAGAGCATATCGAAGTTAAAAAAAGAATTTTCCCCATGACTCATGAATGTCCCTTTTTCTGGAAAACCAGTTCTTCAGAAACTCTAAAAATAATCAAAACCATACTTAAAGGGGCATGATTGTAACCTCTACATTTCTAATTAAAATGAGACATCTTCCAGCTCTATATCACTTTTCTTTACACAGTTACGGAATTTACAAGAAAAGCCCTAAATTAATTTCTTCTTATTTCTGTAGCTTTGAGCTGAAAATGAACACTCAGGGCTTTTCTTGTAAATTCTATAACTTTGTAAAGAAAAGTGATATAGAGCTGGAAGGTGTCTCATTTTAATCAGAAATGAGCGGGATACAATCATGCCTCATTAAGAAAGATTTTGGTTATTTTTGGAGTTTCTGAGAAACTGATTTTCTAGAAAAAAGGGTCTTCAAGAGCTATGGAGAAAACCCTTTTAGGCTTCTTACTACCGCGATATGCTCTATCGATCGACGTGGGAATGAATGAAAATAGGGCGTGCCACCTGAGAACGTTTTCTCGTAAGATAAATAAATATGATTGTGTCTACCCTCAACTCTCGAAAAAAAAGGGTCTATCGAACCTAAAAAAGGTTTAAACATTTGTCACCATCTATATACCTTTTTAAGGTTTCGTACGAACTATGTACCTCACTAGCACCCTAAATCGATGACTGCGAAAAGCTTAGTTAGACTGAGGGGACTCTATTTATGCAAATTTTTCCCAGTGACGGATTTAAGGTGCTGTACGGAACCTCAAAAAGCTGTACGGAACCTCAAAAAGCTGTACAAAACCTTAAAAAGGTATTTTGTTTGTACGACACCTTAAAAAGGTTTATAAATGGCGACAAAAGTTTAAACCCTTTTTAGGTTCGGTCGAGCCCCTTTTCTTTTTAGAGAGAACAGGACCTCTCCGTTCTTCTTTGACTTTCAAATATACTTATGATAGACTGACATCTCTTTAAAGGGACACGGCGGGCTAGTATAAAACCTGATTTAGAATTTTGCTAGTTTGAAGAGGACATTAAATTAAATGCTCACTGAAAACTCTTAGGTTGCCGGAAAAGTTATGAATTTTCCAATCATTTAAATTTTAAAATTTCAAAAATAAAATTTGGATGATGTTCAGCATGTTGAGGTACATTAGGCAAGCTTTTGTGAGAAAAAATTCTTATAGAGTCATAACGAGTTTTACTTGAATTTAGCTTAGCCCAATTTAACTGCCTAACAAAAAAATTTTTTCCACAGAAATTAGAACGTCGATTCGTTAGGTACCCTGAATTTACCGTATCAATAATCTCCCAGATTCGAGCGGCTGCACCACGAGCTTCTGAAAGAGTTTGGAATTGATGAATCATTAAACAAAGATAGTGTATCGCGGTTGAAATCGACAGAATAACCTATAACAAAGTTACATGAGATCCATTATCTAGACGTTCGATAGCGTAGTTCAAAAGGCTGTTCGCTAACCGCTTCTTCCACTAGCGTCGCACTTCTTTTATGTCCTTTTAGTTAAAATGTGACATAGGTTTAATATACTCACAATAACAACATTTGTCACAGTCTTTGTTTTGTCTTCATGCAGCAGGTCAATAGCATATCGAAAACCAAATCCATGGATAATAAAATATAAAGCAAATGTCGCACCGAGAAGAAGACCAAGTACCAGTCCTTTTTTAATGCCCCAAAGTCTTGCTGAATTTAAATGACTTTCATATCTGAAAGCAACACCAATAACCTTTCAGTCTCTACTCAAACGCAACCAACGAGATCTTAGTTCAGAAAGAGTACGCGTTTCGTGCAATTACTGGACAACACGAAGCAATAAGAGTTGGATAAAAAGATGCGCTCGGTGAAACACTTTGTTACGCGCCGGTTTCCGTGACTTGTCACAACGGGACTATGGTGGACCTCACCGGCTAAGAAACAATTATGAAAGACTAATAATGATATACATACCTCTTTTGCTCGAATTGTGAACCATTAAACGAAAAAACGGTGCGAATTGAGCTGAATACTTCTTGTGCAATGGAGTCAGCTTCCGAATAGGCCTTTAATTGGTTCCTAGTCATCACACTAACAAGCTACAAACAAAAATAAAACAGGCCTCATCCATATTGGCAAGCAGACTGACGTTATGTTATGATCCGTATTTGCTTTGCCGTCGATAAGTATAACAGTCAAAATGAACGACGACTGTGTCTAACCCACACATGTAAAACTTGTGTCACGATACCAACGGCACACTGTCAAAAAAAGAAAATGTACCCAAAAGCGCCTTCTATTAGAAACTGCTTTGCAGCGTAACAGTTTACAAAAAGATCAGTTTTAAAATTGCGAGCAGAGGAATACTTATCAAATCGTTTTCGACGAGAACGACTTTCGAAAGAGAAACGCTTTTGGAACGCTACAGAACAAAATACTAATGCACTTTGAGCAAAAACTAATTATTGACGAGTTTCTTTCAAGATGAATTAAAATAAATGTTTGTTGGTTATCTTTCAAGACGCTTTCATCCGGTAAACCGAAAAATTAAAACGAAAGGAACTCAAATGACGAACAGATAATATGCGCTGACTAATTAGTCTACCTGTAGCGCACGAAAGAGAGAATATTACATTTTCTTTATCCAAGAGGAACTTCCAGTAGTGTTCACAGCGTGTACGCTGTACACGTGAATATTGTGTGAAATCGTATATGAACACGCATGAGATAAAGTGACACCATTCAGTACGCGCAAAGCTTTTTCTACGCATATTTTCTGCACATACTTACTCATTAGTGAAAGTCGTAAAATGATGTGTGGACACACGTGAAAAGAAATTCCTACTTGTGAAAGCGTATGAAATTGTAGAAAGTCCACACGCGACCACGTATGCTGTAGTTGTATGTAATCCCAATGCCGTGTATTTTGATAAATTTTCCCATCAGTACAGTGCACATCGTATACGAGAAAGTACGCTAACTTAAAGATGGGAGCATAGTTATAAACGAGGTAGTTTGTTTCTATTCCGCAACTGGATATCGTTAAGTAGAGACTTAGTAAATAGGTAAAACCTCTGGTTCAGTCAAGAGAAAAGAAGTAAACTGCAGAGGAAAAATGAGAAGAATGAAATAAACCAGAAATATGCATATATAAATACTCCATTATAGTATTCTAAACTAAAACTATCGAAGAACACAAAATCAATTTTGTACGAATAGAGATTCGAACATGTGATTTAGATTTGCAGTTAACTGCAAAAATGCATGATTTGTTCGCTCCTGCAAAATATGCTGGTGTGATAACGTGTTAACAATTGTATGACAAAAACTTGATCTTGTTATAACTAGTTATTGAGTAATACTGGTGGGAAAAGACGATAAATACTGTTATGTTCTCAAGCACAAACTTGAATAGTTTTCTACCTCGCACGCTACGCTATTAATAGTACAGCTATTTGTACGTAAAACAATTTACATATAGTTGAACACTCGAGAAACAGAAGAGTAACGACTTCAGTAGAACAGGACTTGACATGACGCCAGAAGAATAGAAAGGAAAATGATGCATACTGCTGACCTCTTTATATGTTCAGGACAGGGTAACACAATCACCAATTTAGTAGTTTGTTCTAACTTTTCAAGGACTTCATTTATGACTGAAATATCTTAAACCCGAATAGAGCAAGTTATACTCATGGTAGACAGAGCGCTCTTTTTCGTCTGCTAGTTTTTTCTTGTCGTGCTGTCTTATTTTAATATCAATACGATAGTCCGAAGTTAGCAAAAAACCTGCATATCTTTAACGTGTTTTTTCTTGAATAATGGCGAAAAAATTCTGATCTGTTGGGGTGCGAAGGGCGAAACTATATTTGTAGAATATACAGCAGACAGTGCTTTTAATCAAAACAGAATCGAATTTATCTATGAATAAAATATTATCAACCTCGTCCATTGTATTTAAACTAATTTATCTTAAAATAGGAAGCATTAAGATAGCATTAGTCAGAGTAGAATGTAACTTACGTTTGTTGAGACAGCTGCCAGACCAAATAATATGGGGGCAACGCTCAGCATAACTAAAGATAACTTCCAACTCGCTATGAGGGCTACAATGGAACTAAATACAAGTCTTCCTAATCCACTAATAATCAATCCCAAGTTCGGTCCGATCCCATTCTGTACGGTATCGATATTTCTGAATTTTGAAAAAATTAGTGCTTAAACGATAAAAGTAGAACGAGTCCGACATACTTAAACAAAACTGTGTTTAGTTCGCCCGCCTTATGTATGTCGAAATAGGTCATGTTCTAGAAAATGAACAAATTCACACACATTAAAGCAACAAAGTTTCATTCTTTCATACCTTATTCAATATACATCGATATAACTTCTGACGTATGCGACACGTTTGCCGTTCCGAAGATATGGAGAAAAACATATGGTTCAAATAGCCAAATAAAAATGAAATACAACCAAGTCCTTAATTGAGCAGAAGATACTTTACACACGAACAAACCACTTGTGACGATACTACTGTCCATGATTTGTCTCCTCAAGCAAATATCAGAATAATTAGCCTAAATACCTAGCATAAGGATACTTTTTTGAGAAACTTGGTGGTTAAAACGTTTTGCTGCCAAATCGATAACCGTTTTATCTATGTTGCACAACCTGAATATGATCACATTATCAGGAAACTTAAGCTGCACGCTTCCAGCATAACACTTGCCTGCTGTACGTATAATAATTGTATTCATTTAATTTTATTCCATCTGGGCATGTTTTACTTAATTCCTTAAAATCGACGTGACAATAATCGCCTGCTTGGCTACTAAATATACCCACCAATTGGCCGAATAGCAAATTGTATAGTGCAACTGTAAGACCAACGATCATGGCAGCAATGGTACCCAAGAGAATGTATACAATATCGAGCCGTTCAGCAAAACGAAACTATACAAGGATGAAGAAATTAAAATTGCTTGACACTTATTAGTAACACTTTATTATGTGGAAGGCAAGATATAAGATAGATAGTACTAATGCGGCTTCAACACCCTTCGGACTGGTATCTTTATTAAGAGATTTCTTTTTTCATTTTTATCAAATACAAATATAAAAGAATTAATTATTTCGACCTAGTTATACGGCATTGTCATGCACTGTACAACGGTGTTACACAAACATATAAATAAAAATCCATACACATACACATATAAGTTGACGAAACTTTACTTTTTAAATTATTTTTCTGGTAATGTATTAATTTCTGTTTGCAAAAAAATTTGTTTTCATGAGGATTATGTTTAAGAGTACTGCTGTAGCACCATTATGACATATGCGAATGATCCCAAAGAATTTATGTGATTTTTTCCTGCTCTTAAAGCTTATACAAAAAATCCTTAGCAACAACAGATTTGTGGATGTGGAAAGACACAGACAGTTAAGTATTATCTACTGGAGTGTGTGTTATTCCACCAAGTTCAAAGAAAAATGCTTATAAAGGCAATTTCAGCAATAAAAAACGCTCCTACCCGTAGTCTTGATCTTCTTTTACTAAATGTATCTCTTTCGAAAAAAGATTTTTCATGTATATATCGTGCAGTAACAGACTATATTTGTACAACAAAAATATTTATAGAAGAAGAATAACGTGTTCTTTTGTTCTCTCTCTCCTTGTCATATTACTTCTCGCTAAATAGACTTTTTGTTTCTCTGTGTTCCTGGACTCTGGACTTTCACATATTGTTGTTTGACACTGTTTTCGTATCAGATACTTTTCCATCGACTGTGTTTCTCTATCCCTCGATAATAATGGGACATGTCTCTCTTTTGGTGGTTAGGTAAAAAGTTAAAATGTTTCTCTTTCAAATGAAACAGCTTATAAAAATTTATGTGATATTCATTTAGCCCTTTTAAAAAAGTCTCACTGTAAATCTGCATCTATTCCATTCTTAAGAATTCAGTATAGTTTTTCTTAGCGCGATCACTATCATATTGCTATTTCGCGACGCGACTCATGCCGACGGTAATTGCGGCTATTGCACGACAATCTAGCTGAGTTTTAAAAAGTCGCGACGCGACTCACTTGACGGAATTTTCTTGGTGGATATAGTTAGTACTTTTTGAAATGCAAGAACAGAAAAGAATTCTTTTTCTCTTATTTCAAAGTGCGAATTTAGTCTATATTACAAATAGACAGTCCACATTCTGTTTATAACATAAATAGTATATGCTATGTGTCTATAGACACGTGTGTGACTGAAGATACGTGTTTTGTTATTCTCATTTTAAAGGAGATATACAAAACAAAATTAGTGTCCGTTACACTGTTAAAAGTTTTTACGCCAAATAATGTTCGAATGTGTGAAAATGCATCAAAAACGTTATATAACGAACAAAAACTCATTAAACGTTTTATAAAGTGAAAATGTGTAACAATAATGTAGTATATAATACTTTATAGTGTACTACTGCTACACATTTTCACTTTATGAAACGTTTAATGAGTTTTTGTTCGTTATATAACGTTTTTGATGCATTTTCACACATTCGAACATTATTTAGCGTAAAAATTTTTAACAGTGTATACACCAGACACTTCATATTTTCTTAGCATAGTGCGTAGAATATATTTACGCTCGATTTTTTTGCAGTTTATATGTGCTTTTTTCACTTGTTCAAGAGGAAAGCACAGCAAAAGATAAGTAATATACAAAGTAAGTACACAGCAATTTTAATGAACGAACGAGTATGAAAACATAAATCCTTTTTTCACGTTTGTTGTCACAAAGTTGAAATCTTTTTGTTTAACTATTTTAGGTACCTAACCGGACTTCTGCTATGTACAACTTCGCTAAATATTTTAACTTCGCAGGGTCTCGAAATAAAAATACACCAAAGGTTGACGTCATCGCAATCGTGAGTATCCTCGGTGAAAGGTCGCTTTGTCGTTGGTGACTTCCAAATTGTAGCGAGTATCATTTCGGTCCTATTTTACGCAGAGAGGATTGGCGCAAAGCCATTCCGCCTCATTCACGGGATACTAGATTGGCCCTAGCAACGAACTGATATTAGCGTTTAGTAT